AGAACTATGAAAAGGAAATCAGGAAAGCAATACCATTTATAATAGCCCCTAAAAAAAATAAAATACTTAGGAATAAATCTAACCAGGGACGTAAAAGACCTATACAAAGAAAACGACAAAACACTACTGCAAGAAACCAAAAGAGATGTACACAAATCGAAAAAAATATGCTAGTGGATAGGGAGACACAACATTGTGAAAATGTCAATTCTACTCAAAGCAATCTACAAATATAATGCAATCCCGGGCCAAATACCAATAGCATCTTTTAACGAGATGGAAAAACTAATCATTAACTTTATATGGAAAGGAAAGAGGCCTCAGATAAGTAAATCACTATTGAAGAAAAAGAATAAAGTAGGAGAACTCGAACTACCTGACCTCAGAACCTACTATACAGCTGTGATAGTCAAAACAGTCTGGTACTGGTACAACGACAGACACTGACCAGTGGAACAGAATCTAGAACCCAGGTGTAAATCCATTCACCTATGGTCACCTGCTCTTTGACAAAGGCCCGAAGTCCATTACATGGGGAAAAGACAGTCTTTTTAACAAATTGTGCTGGCAAAACTGGGTGTCCATCTGCAAGAAAATGAAACAGGACCCGTACCACACACTATACACAAAAACTAATTCAAAATAGATCAAACACCTAAACATAAAATCAAAAACTATAAAGGTCATACAAATAAAAATAGGGTCACTGCTAGAGACCCTAATACACAGCATAAATAGGATACAAACCATAACTAACAATCACGAACACCAGAAGATAAGCTAGATAACTGGGATCTTCTAAAAATTACACACTTCAGACTTTACCAAAAGAGTAAAAAGAGAACCTATAGACTGGGAAAAGATTTTTGGCTATGACATATCCGACAAAGGTCTAATCTTTAAAATTTATAGGAAAATCCAACACCTCGACAAAAAAAAGACAAATAATCCAACTAAAAATGGGCAAAGGATATGAATAAACACTTCACCAGACAAGACATTCAGGCAGCTAACAGACACATGAGTAAACACTTGCAATCACTAGCTATTAGAGAAATCCAAATCAAAACTTCCATCTCACCCTGACATTACCGGCACAAATCAAAACAACAGAAAATAAATGTTGGAGAGGCTATGGGGAGACTGGAACTATTATGCACTGCTGGTGGGAATGCAAAAAGGTACAAACATTTTGGAAAACAATATGGTGCTTCCTTAGAAAGTTAGAAATAGAAATAGCATACAATCCGGAAATCCTACTCCTAGGAATATATCCTAGACAAATAAGAGCCGCCACACGAATAGACATCTGCACACCCATGTTCACTGCAGCATTGTTCGCAATAGTAAAAAGACAGAAAAAACCTAGATGCCCATCAACAGGTGAATGGATACAAACTATGGTACATACACACAATGGAATACACAACAATAAAAAACAATAAAGAACAAGGATGAATCTGTGAAACATCTCACAACATGGATGAATCTGTAGGGCATTATCAATCACAAATGGACAAATACTGTATGAGACCACTATTACAAAAACACATGAAAAGGTTTACACACCGAAAGAAACAATCTTTGATGGTTACGACGGAGGGGAGAAGTGGGGAGGGAAAAACACTAACCAGAAGATAGATAAGTAGTAACTGGTGAAGGGTAAGACAGCACACAATTCCGGGGAAGTCAGCACAATTTGACCAAGGCAAGGTCATGGAAGCTTCATAGACAAATCCAAACTCCCTGAGGGACCAAATTACTGGGCTGAAGGCTCGGTACCATGGTCTTGGAGGACACCTAGCTCAACTGGCATAACAGTTTATAAAGAATATGTTCTACATCCTACTTTGGTGAGTAGTGTCTGGGGTCTTAAAAGCTTGTGAGCAGCCATCTAAGATACTCCACTAGCCCCACCTTGTCTGGGGCAAGGGAGAATGAAGAAAACTAAAGACACAAGGGAAAGATTAGTCCAAAGGACTATTGGACCACAATTACCACAGCCTCCATCAGACTGAGTCCAGCACAGCTAGATGGTATCCGGCTACCTCCACTGACTGCTCTGACAGAGATCACAATAGAGGGTCCTGGACAGAGCTGGAGAAGGATGTTTAACAAAATTTTAACTCACAAAAAGACTAGACTTACTGGTCTGACAGAGATGGGAGAAACCCTGAAAGTACAACTCCTGGACATCCTTTTAACTCAGTACTGAAGTCACTCCTGAGGTTTCCCCCTTCAGCCAAAGATTAGACAGGCCCATAAAACAAAACGACACTAAAGGGCACACCAGCCCAGGGGCAAGGACGAGAAGGCAGGAGGGGACAGGAAAGCTGGTAATGGAGAGCCCAAGGTCGAGAAGGGGAGAGTGTTGATCTGTCGTAGGGTTGGCAATCAAAGTCATAAAAAAATATGTGTACTAATTGTTTAATGAGAAACTAATTTGCTCTGTAAACCTTTATTTAAAGTACAGTAAAAAAAAAAAGAATGCCATTCATATACATACAGAAGACTCAGATACATGCATGTCCAGAAAATATCCTAATGTGAAATCATACATACACCATATCCCAAATCAAGAAAACAGAAACATAGAGAAGATCTATAAAACATAGCAGAAAATATGCACAGATAAATATACTTCTCCTCTTACATGCCAGAAGAAGTTTGTGCACAAGAGGGGGCCCAGCACAGATTAACTAACCTGTCTGGGTTTGACTCCAGATCTTGTCCCTTACTGATGGGTAACCCTGTTACTTAAACTCTCTGTGCCTGTTTTCTCTTCTGTAAAATGGGGACTTTAAAGAATTATTGTTGTTAGGTGCTGTCAAGTCAGACTCATGGTGACCCTATGTACAACAGAACGAAACAATGCCCGCTACTGTGACATCCTCACAGATGTTGCTATGTTTGAGCCCACCACTACAGCCAATGTGTCAATCCATCTTGTTGAGGATCTTCCTCTGTTTCATTGACCTTCTACTTTACCAAGCACGATGTCCTTCTCAAGGGGACTGGTCACTCCTGATAACTTGTCCAAAGTCAGTGAGACAAAGTCTCGTCATGCTCACTTTTAAGGAGCATTCTGGCTGTCCTTCTCCCAAGACATATTTGTGTGTCTCTGGCCATCCATGGTATAGTCAGTATTCTTCACCAACACCATAACTCAAATGCATCCATCCTTCTTTGGTCTTCCTTATTACAGCTGTCGCATGCGCATGAGCCAATTAAAAATACCATGGCTTGAGTCAGGTGCACCTTTAGTCCTCAAGGTGACATCCTTGCTTTTTAACACTTTAAAGAGGTCTTCTGCAGCAGATTTGCCAGATGCAATGCATCGTTTGACTTCTTGACTGCTGCTTCCATTGGTGTTGAAAGATTAGATATATTAAATGAATAAAATACTAAGAATAGTACCTGGTACACAGTGGGTGCCACGTAAGTTAAACAAAATAAATGACATACTTACAAAGAATTGCATAGAGAAGACTCACATGCTTACAACTCTGAAGCATTCACAGCAGAAAAAGACCCATATTCTCCTAGCTACAAAAATATATTCTTATACGTTGAAGATTCACAAAATCTAAGACACTCTAAAGTTTAGATAAGGAGATGACTAACACATCACTGATCTGGTGGGAAAGAGAAGTCAGTGTCAAGACAGCTGGAAGAACCTGGACTTGGGTAGGAGTGTATGGACCATACACTACCTGAGAAGTCAAAGGATGTTTTTAATCCAGACTCTCAATGCTAAAACCTGAAGGCTGGGACTACTGTGGTGCCTAGGAGATGAAGTCAGCAGTTGCTGGGGTTATAGAGATCCCAGTATATTAAGAATGATGAGCGTCCTTAGTTACCAATTTCAATAACAGAGAATGGAAGTGAAATGAAGCTGTCTATAATTCTATTTACTTTGCCTCTTACAAACTGGTTTCTGATCCTAACACTCTACTGAAACTAATCTCTCTGAGACTGTTAATGACTTCCTAATTTCCATAGCCAATGGCCTCATCTGCATCTTACATGATATTACCTATCTTGTATTCCCTTGGCTACTAGGCTGTCATAGTCAGCTCTCCTCTCACCTTCCTAATTACTTCTTTCCTAGCCTCTTTTTACAAATCTTACCAATTCTTTTTAATTCTCTCTCTGAAATTTCTTTTAAGCTAGACCACTCTTCTTCATGCTTGCTGCTACTGCCTTAACTCAGGCCTCTGCGATCCCCCTGGGCTTGTGAAACAGACCCACTCCTGGTCTTCCTGCCCCTGTATCTCTGTACTCCTGTCCATCCTCTATGGTGCTTCCAGAATTACTTTCTCCAAAATAAATACAATCCTGTCATTCTCCTCCTTATAAGCCTCTACTGAAGGACTTCCCATTCTCTAGAATATAAAATTTAAACTGCACATGTTAGATTCTTCATCTCACTCCAGCTTACCTCTTCAATTTAATCTTTCACCTATCTACCTGCCCTAATCCAAAATGACGTTCTCACTGTTCCCTGAATACTCTATGTTCTGTGATGCTCTGCCTGGACCACTCTCCTCCATCTTTTTTTCAATCTAGAAAAGTCCTTCTTTTTCCCTACAAGACCCACCTTAATTATTATTTCCTAAGTAATGTCTTCCTCAGCTTCCCTTCAGCAGAGAGAATTATTTTTCCGAATGCCTGAAGCACTGTGGTCAGACATCTCTTACAATACATGCCATGTGGGATTGTAATTTACCTGTTTAACTGTCAGATTTTCCACTAAACTTTGAGCACCTCAAAGATAAAGCCACCATTCTACTAATTTCTAAAAACTCCTGTACCCATCACATAGTTGCCTCCCAAAAAATTCTGGTTGAATCAAATTAAACCCTTTCATAAAATAGGGAAAAGAAAATCTTTAGTTATGACAGTGTAACTCTTTAAACATAAAATAAGAAAACAAATGAGACTACTTTGGAAAGCATAAGGCTCTACGGACAACAGAAAAAGGGAGGAATATTCCTTACCGCTGTACATCTTTATTCTTCCAAAAGGAGGCAGACTGAGCCTTTGGCACTCTTTCAATAAAATTCACCAGCTCTTCCATGAGGAGCCTGAGTTTAAACAAAAAAAGTGATGAATATTCATAAAAATATCATAAAAACACAATGTTCTAACACAGTAGTCAGGAGAAATGGACTTGCCATCCTCCACCTTCTTCTTCCTCTCTGTTGCATATAAACATGGGCACCATTTTACACAAAGTTAACCAAAAACCTAGCCTTCATTGAATTTCCATGCTAAAAATTCTACACTTAAATGATTTAAATTCACCTTTAAAACAAGCCTGGTCTGTTTCTTGTCTCTAAACACTGAAATATAGAAGCCTACGGTTTAACACTCAAAGATCTCTGTCTTTATTACTTAAAATACTAAAGGAGAAAAAGTTAAATGACTGTGAAATACCTGATTTTAGTGGCAGCAGGGGTAGGAGTAGTGGCTGTTTTTTAAATGACAATATTAAATGATCATTTTAAACTGATAAATTTTCTTGACATGTTTTAGGAAATAACAAAATTTATGTGGAAGAATACTCTTAGGACTAATTCTAAAAACTTAACTAAAGAAAGTGCAAAAGGATGGGCTCTGAAGATCACAAGATGAATTAGCCACGGAATCAGAGTGGAGAGATCCTAAGAAACATCTCACTCTATTGGCTCAACGGTACAAATGATACGGGGAATACATGGGACAGACAACTGTTATAAATTCTTGATGGCTAGAGGATGGCCAAAGGCTAGAAATAGAATTTCAACATCTTGAATTCCCCTTCATAATCTAGTATAGATAATCCATGCTGTCTTAAATCCTTTCACACTCAACATATGCATACAACAAGCCATAAGTTTATTACCATTTGAATACTGAACTTCATTTTTTTCCATTTGTTTATTTAGTCCTAATACTGTCTCCTTCAGTCATGAAGGAGCAATGCTTGTTCCAGAATTCCAAGAATTGGGAACCAAGCTCATTACCACTCTGACTGTAGCTTTCATGAGAATAGTCTGGTATGTTCATCTTCATGGTTTAAAGTTTTCAGACTAGAGTCTAATGTTTTTAGCTTATCGTCTCATTGAAATTGATCTATTACTTTGAGTGTTTTACTTTCCTGTAATGGCCCTTCCTCAGATCCCTGTTTTTCTGTACACACTGCAGGCAATATGGCTTGACAAAGAAACAAGTAAATATTTTGTTTCATTTCCAGTAATTCTATCTTGCTAGACATCTGCCAAGACACTAGAACCCAAACTCAGGAGTCTGTGGACTCCTAGTTCCCATATTTTGGGTCCTGATAGTTTCAACTTATGCCATACCTGTCAATTTATTTCAAAACAATTCTTTTTCCTGGGGTAGTTTTCTTTTTTTTTTCTCACTAAATAATGCTATGGTTACTTACAGCAAATAGCTATATCACGAAGGCTTAGTAGGAGCTAAGAAAGAGATGGCAGAGTATTCTCAAAGTCAAAGGAAGACTTTACAGTTTTTAGAGTCCTGAGTTTCACTCCATCAACAGTAACGACAACTTACTCATCTAATTACTCATTCCCTGTTTTCTAAAAGCTGTCTCTATTAAACCACAAAAGGCGGGGAATTCTGCAAGCCAAGAAATGTAATTTCTTCCTCTTTTCTTAAATATGCTATGTTTCTTTTCACTGAAGCTCTTTGCTGTGCATTGCTGTGGCCTCCCCTAATTGGGATGATCTGCACAGGAGAGCGATCTCTGTAAACTCTTTCTTCAGTTTATGTAAAAAAAGAAAAGAAAAAAGATTAACAAACGCTAGAGAATTCCACCGAACATTTCTTTATCTAGAGAGGCGACCATGTGTGCCTATTCTTTGTGTCAGGTGCTCAGAAGGAAATAACAATTGATCCTGGCATAACATCAAATTAAAGTCACCAATGAAGGAAAAGAGCTTTCTAGCAACATTCTAATAGGCCAGGAATAAATATTCTCACCTGCCGATCTGAAGAGTGGGTTCTGTAGCATATACGGTGCCTGTGAAACCAGTGTGCTCAGTGATGTAGGGGAGTGCCATCATGCAATGATAGTTAGAGATGAGGATCACATCTACCGTAGACAGATCTATTAGCTCGGTCTGAAAAGAAAGGGGAGGGAATGATACCTATCTGTTCCAGGCACATAGATTAACATGATGTAACTGAAAAATTATGTTGCCAAATGCAGAGAAGTAGTTTTTGTACTACAGAATAATGATGCCTTTCCTGCAATACTTCTATTCTCTCATTTTAGAATATTTGCTAATACTGACACCAAGTAGCAGGACAGGATTGCGAAAAATGAGAAAGTAGCCAGTCCACCAGCAGCACTCTGATTTTACTAGGACACAGTTCTGAGTTAGACACATGAGGATAAATGATAACAGGATGTCTCAGCAGAGGTTGCCTGGCAAGTGAAACCAGGTAACTTGAAGCAGAGAGAGCAATATAAGCTATAAGGCCATACTAGAATGTAATGCACCGTTGCTGCAGACTAATGAGAAACAGGGAAAGAAGCACACAGAAACCAGATCTTCAAATGTTAAATGTGGGAGGCAACTTTTGACTACTAGTGTTAGATACAGAGCATATATATATATATATATGTATATAAAATATATATGGGCAGTCATGAAAGTATATTCTTATATTCTAGCCTAATCTTAAGCCCAAGTCCACCCTTTTACTCCATTATTTACTTATTTTTTAAATTGCGATTTAGGTGAAAGTTTAGAGAGCAAATTAGTTTCTCATTAAACAGTTAACAACCAAATTGTTTTCTGACATTGGTTGTCATCTCTGCAATGTGTCAACACGCTCAGCTTCTCCACCCCAGGTTCCGTTTCCATTCGTCCAGTTTTGTTGTTCCTTCCTGCCTTCTTGTCTTTGCTTTTGAGCTGATATGCCCATTAGTCTCATATACATGACTGAACTATGAAGTATGTCTGTCACGTCCCACTGACCTGCCTAATCTTTGGCTGAAGGGTGAACCTCAGGAATGACTTCAGTACTGAGTTAAAAGGGTGTCTGGTCACTTGGGGGCCAAAAACTCGAGGTTTCTCCATCTCTGTCAGACCAGCAAGCCTGGTCTTCTTTATTTTTATTTTTGTGAATTTGAATTTTGTTCTGTATTTTTCTCCAGCTCTGCCTGGGACCCTCTATTGTGATCCCTGCCACAGCAGCTGGTGGTGGTAACCAGGCACTATCTAGTTGTTCTGAGCTCAGTCTGGTGGAGGCTGTAGTAGTTGTGGTCCATTACTCCTTTGGAATAAACTTTCCCTTGTGTCTTTGCTCTTCTTAATTCTCCTTTGCTCCAGCTGGGATGGGACTAGTAGGTGTATATTAGATGGCTGCCTACAAGCTTTTGAGACTCCAGTTGCTACTTGCCACAGTCGGATATAGAACATTTTCTTTATAGACTATGTTATGTCAATTGGGCTAGATGTCCCTAAGACTATGGTCCTCATCCCTCAGCCCAGTAGCTCTGTTTCTCAGGGCATTTGGATGTGTCTGGGAAGCTTCTATGACTTTGCCGTGGTCTTTTACTCCATTATTAAGGTAATGTGGAAAGGGAAAAGACAGGTTAGTAGTTGAGGAACACTGCTACTCATACTTGGTAAATTTATTGAAGATTCGATTGCTGAATTAATAGAATGGAATGTTTTCCCCATATATTTAAGTCCTACCAGTCTTTTACAGCCAAAGTACAACTCTGAGTATATCCCAACTGAATTAAGAGACTATCTCAAGAACAGATTTGACGCACTGAAAACCAATAACTGAAGACCAAATGAGTTGTGGGATGACATCAAGGACATCAGACATGGAGAGCAAATTGTTATATACAAACGCTTGGATTCTGTAGATGTTAAATTGGGTCAAAATAACCATAATTTATTGGTTGCTTACCATACTGTACTAGATCCTGTGAGGGATACAAAAGTATTTAATGTAATTGTACTAGATTATAAATTCCATGAGGACTGGGATTGGGTCTCCCTGGTTCACTCACAAATCAGCAAGTAACAAGTTACACTATCAGAACACCAATTAGTAAATTCTCTATTGTTGCCCATAAACTGAAGATTGTAGTAGTCAGTGCCATATGTGGTGGACTGAAAATAAATGTAGCACATGGGATTAGGAATCTTCAAACAGATGGGAAACTGCCCCATCAATTTCTAAATGACAAATGAGGATGACAAAAAGATTCAATAGCAGTGAGGGAGAGCTCAGGATTCTCGGTAACTCTCTACCTTCGCTCTTCTTACTACTGTATCTCAAACTGCCACCTTCGGTTATCACGTCCTTCTCTCTTTCTTCTTCTCTTTCTCTCTGGCATCCCAAAAGGGCATATACACTTACTTCAAAGAAAGAGAAAAAAGTTTGCAGAATATCAAAGGGAAGAATGGAAAATAAGGCAAACTGCACTCCAATTTTTCTTTTCTCTTTGACACTGAATTGTGAAAGTATTTTCTACAGGCATTATAATCCACTGGGCAGCAGCTTCTCACTGATTTCCTCGGGAACCCTGGAATAGCTACTGGCTTCCTTACACTTCATCTGTCTGTTGAGAATCCCACCTTAGGCCACTATGAGGATTAGGCCTGTCAGCTAAGATTGATTAATTTCCTTTAAAAATAATGGAAACTAATTATTTTCCTTTAAAACTATAAAACTGGCCCCAAACCCTTACAACTCTTAAAACAAGTCTCACTAGGATAATAATATGTATGTGACAGATATCCATGACTCAGTTCAGAATTCATGCATTTCATGCAATATTCAATATATTTCAAGTCAGCAAGAATTTTTACATTTTACTGGATAACATCAATTTTCAATTACCCACTGTAAACAAGATTAGGAAAAAAAGCATGGTTAATTTTAGCATAAAACCAAAAAAATCCGTTGCCGTTAAGTTGATTCTGACTCACAGAGACCCTATAGGACAGAGTAGAACTGCACCATAGGGTTTCCAAGGAGCGGTTGATGGATTCAAACTGCTGACCTTTTGGTTAGCAGCTGAACTCTCAACCACTGCACCACCGGGGCTCCAATCTAAGCAATGCAGACATTATAATTACAAAACTGAAAGGTTTGAGCTATTTCCTTACCTTGTTCAAAACTGTGCTCTAGAAGTGTTAGTGGGGATTTATGGCGAGTTAGGGAGAGGAAAAAGAGAGTGACTTAAATTATTTATATATAATATAAAAACCTCCAAAATGTTCATATTTAGTATAACTATGTGTCTGGAAAAACAGAGTCATTTCAAGTTGAAAACAGGAAGCTAAGCCCCTTAAAATGCTTTCTAGATTTCATTTGGAGAGATTATAGCATATGCTTTGTTTCTACAATAACATTAACTTTAATCTTACCTCTGGTAAGCAGAATTCAGGCACAGAATCCACAAATACATGACCTGAGCACTCCTTTAGCTCCTAAAAGAAATGAAAAGGAAAAATATCTATAGGAAGAGATATCCAACAGACATAACACCAAAGAAATTTAATCCTCAAACCAACTTTTCATGAAAAATCATAGACTGCTAGAGCTGTAGGGAAGTGGAAAGGTTATTTAAGTCAATTGTTCCTTGTTTAGGCTCGGGAGGCTAAGTGTCTTACTCAGGGTAAAAACACTGGTTGGTGGCAGTCTCAGGACAATGCACAGCTCTTGATGCTTCTTCAGGGAAGCCACATGTAGGCACATGCTGCTTCATAACCCATGATCCAATGGTTTTCAAATAATGCTTATATAGACCATACCAGAAACATCAGAATTATCTGGGGGCACTGATAAAAATAAAGATTCCTGGCCCCTATTTAAGATAAGACTTAAGGGATTAGAAACTGCGAGGAGGCAGCCATGGAATCTGTATTTGTAACAAGCATCTCCAGTGACTCTGTTATGCAATCAGGTTACTGGTCATAGCCCTAGACAAATTACTTACAGCCTCTTTCTCCTCCTACCAAGAATTGGAGGAAAGGGCAAAGTAAGGAGGTGGGTGAAGAATAGGTGGTAGGGGTAAAACCACCCCACCACAACTATGAATATAATCTGTGCCCTTGCAGCAAATACAATTTATTTGGGATTATAAACTAAATGTATTCATTCAGAAGAAAAAAAACATACTGCAACTTCCTACCTCACCCAGGACCTATCATATTTAACGTATCTGTCTTAGTTTGGGTTGCTCCAGAAGTAGACCCTGAGAAAGTGGTTGAGAGCAAGGAGTTTACTATACAGGAGGTGCTGAAAACACAGCAGGAGAATGGGGAAGTAATACAGGGACAGGAGGGTGGCTGATAAACAATACTTTATTGAGCCACATACCACTGTGGGCAATTGGCACTTATTCCCGTAGGGAAACTCTGAGAAATAGTATAAAGCAAACATCTTAGAGTTATCCTACTGAGAGGTAACGCGCCTGAGATATTTACATAACAACTTCTGCATTTTGTGCAGCTTTGGAAAAAACACTCTCAGGTAAACTGAAACAGATATTGGCGGCCAGAATTCTGATACAGCACACTGAAGTGGTAAGACCCCAGAGATATGAGTGGGTCACCAACAAGGTCTATCTGCTACAATGCTTCCAGAAGGCCATCAGAGTTGTTTTCTTCTCTCACTGACACTTTAAACTTAAGTCTACAGAGAAGTTTTTAAAAATTTTATTTAATTTTTGTTGTTGTTGAGAATATACATACGAGAAAATATACCAATTCAACAATTTCTACATGTACAATTCAGTGACACTGATTACATTCTTCAAGTTTATCTAAACTGTTCCTTTCTCATAACATAAACTAATTTTTTCTGCCATCAAGGCCAAAGCTATCTACGACTGTATAACGAAACCAGTAAAAGATATAAATTGGTTGACAGTTTGCTTTGCTCTTCCCAGGAGAATGATGTTATAGTTTTGTTCTATAGTGTTTCCATTAGTCATTGAACATATATTTGTTCATACACATAGACACACACACATATTTATATACCAGAGTCTGAATGATTTTACTCTCAATCTTTATCTGAAAATTATGTGTTAACTATATGTTATTTTCCTTTTTAATTTTACTATCCTTTGTGGGTCTCATATCAGAACCCTGATAGAGTATTTCCTGTCAACTCTTGTTCTTATGTGAGTACTGTTAACCAGTGTTATGGATTGAATCGTGTCCTCCAAAAATGTGCATCAACTTAGCTAAGCCATGATTCCCAGTATTGTGTGACTGTCCACCATTTTGTCATCTGATGTGATTTTCCTATGTGTTGTAAATCCTACCTCTATGATGTTAATGAGGCAGGATTAGAGACAGTTAT